AGAAAAGAAAAGAAAAGAAAAGAAAAGAAAAGAAAAGAAAAGAAAAGGCAAAAAGGAAGGAAAAGAGACCCCATCTGATCACAGAAGCAGCACACGCTGGGGACCTTGAGTCACGGAAATGAGTCCAGCTGTATTGCTGATTCTGTTTATGTCAGTAAACACACACACAGACACACACACAGAGGAAAAACAACCCCAGGAGGCTGGAAAAGGAGCTCTTCATTCTTTTGGAGAGTTTTGTTGTTTTTTTTTTTAATAACTAATGACAGCCCCCTGAGTTCAAAACTTCAGTTCATTATACCCAGTCTATGGGCCTTCCCAAAGGCCTTCTACTCTCTATTTACTCAGAGCTTGCCGCCATCATTACGTTAACTTTTCATCAAGACACCCTGAGATAATTCCTGTGCCTTTTTATGTTATCATCTCATAACTTGGAAAGTGGGTTTCATATACTCCAGCCTATTGATTCACTACAAAAACATTTTTGTTTAAAACACTCACCTGCCTTTTAATATACATATTTATATTGAAAAGGAGGCTGTAATAAAGGGCTTAAATGTATATTTTCTTTGAGATTCAAATGTAGTGTGCACTGTATAAGCTTTTATACATATCTATATATACAGTATGTTAATATAACCTATTTTTGGTTATTTTCTCCTAATATATATTTTATTTTGCAAAAGAGGGGGGTACTCCAGTGTGCCCTGCAGATGTGTAAGTTGCTGGGTTAATTTTGAGCTGTTGAGGCACACATATTCTTGAAATAACACACATAGTAATATGTTTAAATACTAAAACGAAATAACCAAGATTTTATATTTTTGTAAATTATACTTTCTATACTATAGAATATGTTATAAGTGCTTTTTACTGAAAGCTAATAAATTAAAGTACAGTTGTATCTTTTTAAAATGGTATAATTCTGTTATTTCCTTCTTTCATTAATTAACTCCATGAATCAAATATTTACTATATATAATGCTCTTGGGAGGATACAAAAATATAGAAAGTACTGGCCCTACTTGTAGCTCTCTAGCTGGGGAAATGAGAAAGGTATACACAGAAATATAGTACAAGAAAAGGAAATGATGAGTGACATATAAGTGACAGAAACAACTTGTTCTCTAAGGTGACTTTTCCAGTTCTATACTTTTGATCCTACACAACTTGTTAGGAAAAGTTTCTTTAACAATCCATTAAATTGTCCATTCTACTGATCTGGAGAAAAATAAAGTTTGGGGACAGCCTATATCCCAGCATCTATTCATTCAGGCAGGTGGTATCCCAGGACCTCTGTTGTCCCTTCTCAGGGCCATGTCCTGAGCTCTGCCCCATACCCACCAACTCCATAAATCCTGAAATCAAATGTCTCTCCTTACCAGGTGTTCAATGGTGTTTGCCCTGGGCACCAGAATTCCCAGTTTTAGCCTAAGGTAGAAGCAAAATGTAATTTTGCAGCATTTAGGATTAAAACCATCAGGTTCTATTAATTGACAAGCAGCTATAAAGCACCTACTATGTGCTGTCCTAGGAGTTCAGGATACAAAGGCAAAAATGAAACAGCCCTTACCCTTGAGGAGCTTACATTCTTATATGCTCAATCCCAGTGAAAGAGGCAGGAAGTGTATCTACCCAAGTGGTGTATCTGGAGAAAAGAGGAGAGTAAAAAGAAACAGAGAAATTGCATTTGTCTAATTATGTAATTTGAATGGGGGCCCGGTGGTTCAAGCAGGATGGGGTCAGGTAAGAAAACGAATATAGATTAGTAGAAGGAGCAACTTTGTCTCCAGTTTTAATTATGAATGCGTGTTAAAATATAAATGTACCCAGATACAAGGAACATCATCACACATAGAATGTGTCCCTCATCCTTACTACTAAGAGTCCCCAAGAATCCCACTTAGCTCTGATGATAGCTCACAGCTTCTGATTTAGGATTATGAGCCAAATTCATTTCTTTTTCACTTTTGTTTCTAAACAAAATTTTAAAAAAACTGATGAGGCAGTGCGGTAGCATGCAAAAAAAAATCTATCATCTTTGGAGTCATGTGACATGGGTTCAAAACCCAATACTGCCATGCCACCTGTGTGACCTTGAGTATGTAATTTTAACTCTTTAGGTCTCAATGTCCTCATATATAAATAATGGCTAGCATTTATATAGCACTTTAAGGTTTGCAAAGCATTTTGCAATTATTATCTCATCTGATCCTCACAACAACCCCAAGAGGTAAGTGTAATTATTATCCCCATTTTACAGATAAAGAAATTGAGTCCCATAGAGATTAAGTGTCTTGCCCAAGGTAATATAGCTAGAATGTGTATAAGACAGGTTTCTAACTCAAGTCTTCTCAACTCCAAGTGATACCCTGTACCTCTTAGCTGCCTTGGGAGGTCCATTCCAACTCTAAACATGTGATTACATGATGGATTATTGACTCTCCTCTATCCTCTTCATGCATCACTGAATTCATTGACTTTTTACCATAGTCCTAAATGTTCACCTCTTTTTTTTGCTGCCTGTCATTTTTCTTCCATAGCATCTTCATCTATAGAATGAGAGGGTTAGACTAGAGGACCTCGAAGGTCCTTCCAGTCTACATACAGTCTATAAACTATGAATTATCCTTTTACCCCATCCACAAAAGTCCTTCTGTGATGCCTTATTATGACATGGGGACAATGCTGAGCATTCTAAGGCTATACCAATGGAGTGAAAACACTTGCAAATCCTATCAGCAGGAAAACATTGACATATGGACACTGTGATAGCTTTTAATCATAAAATCACAGAATCAAAGATTTAGCACCTTAGACACCACCTAGTCCAATATGCATCTGAGCAGGAATTTCTGACAAGTGGTCATGAGGCTGCTGTTCTAAGACTTCCAGCAGTGGGGAACTCCTTCACCCTGATGCAATTGATCTCACTGTAGGCCAGCTCTAATTCCTTTTTTTTTTTTAAGTATTTCTTTTGTCAAGTCAAAATCTGACTCTTTGAAATGTTTACCTAGTTCTGCTCTCGGGAATTAAACAAAGCAACTGTTAATCCTTTTTTCCAAATGACAAGCTAGCAAATACTTGAAGACAGTTACCAGGTCTCCTCTAAGTTTCCTCTTTTCCAGGCTAACCATCCCCAGTTCCTCCAACCTGCTATTTCTAGTCTCTTCAACATCTCTGTTACTGAATTTTAGCTGTGCTATACTTTATCAGTGTCATTCCTAAGATGTGGTATACAGAAATGGGTATAACACTCATGAGGCAGCTGGGTTGCACATTGGACAAAGCTTGGACCTGGATTCAGGAAGACTTGTGCTCAAATTTAGCCTCAGACACTTAGTAACTGTGTGACCCTGGGCAAGTCACTTAACCTCTCTGTGCCTCAGTTTCCTTTATCTGTATAATTCAGATAATAATATCACCTGCTTTTCAAGGTTCTTCTGAGGATCAGATATTTGTGAAGCTCTTTGAAAATCTTAAAGTGCTATATAAATGCTGTTATTATTGTTATCACATCATCTGACCAGAGCAAAGGATAGCAAGAGTATTCATCTCCCATTTCTATGCACTATATTTCTGCTAAGTTGGCCAAAGATCACTGTAGCTTTCTTGGCTGTGATGTCACACTGTTGACGTTATCTTACAATCTACTAAAATTTAGTCTTCAGATGAATTGTCATTTATATCCGTGCCTCTGTAATTTTGTACTGGTGTAATTGATTGTTTTTTAAGTATAGGATTTTACATTAGAGGCATGATGGTACAGTAATAACGGTGCCAAACTTGGAATTAGGAGAGACCTAGGTTCAAATCCTACTTCTGACACTAAACTGGGGAACAGCTTAGTGGGACAACCAGCCCACTTAAACTCTCTTTGTTTCAAGGAGCTCCTCTGAACTTATCTCTTAAATCATCAGTCTTGAATCCACATTCAGAGTCATCTCATGGAAGAAATCCCACACTATTGCATATTTGCATAATAATAACCCTAGTGCTTAGCTCCCAGGGGTTGTTGTGAGGATCAAAAGATGAACTTAAAGGATGACAAAGATGTTAGTTATCTATCCCTTTAAAATTTCATCCCATTAGAGTCGAAAAAATTTGTCTTGGCCTGTTGAGATCATTTTTGAATCTTAATTCTGTCATTCAGTGATCTGACTGTCCCTTCCAGATTTATGCCCGCTGCATTTTTTATAAGCATGCTATCTACAAAGGCATGATTATCATCGACAAAAATGTTGAACAAAGCAAAGGACAGAGTCCTGTGAAACTTGCTGAGAGCTTTCCTTAAACATCAACGTTAGTCCATTAATCATTCCTCTTTGGCCCTGGCTGTGCAAACAGCTGTGACTATACCTAAGCATAATGCCATTCAGCCTACTTCATCTTGACTGCAAGGTTACCTAAGAGCTTTTGTCAATGCTTTGGCTGAAAACCAGGTATATTATATCTATAGCACTATCTTGAATACAGTGCCAGCACAGAGTTGGTGCTTAATAAACATCTGTTGCAAAGTCAGTCTAATTACCCTGTCAAAAAAGGAAATGAGGATCATTGGGCATGACTTTTTTTTTGTTTGTTTGTTTTAATATTTTATCCCCGCCTCCAATTACATGTTAAATCACTTTTATGCCTTGTTTTTTTTGAAAAAGCCTTCTCATTCTTACCACGTGCCTTTCTAAGTGCTCACAAACTTCCCCTGTAATGATAAAGAGCCCCTGTGCTTCTTCAGGCAGATTTTTCCTTTGCATTTCTCTGGTTTCCACCCACACCTGCACACTCTGGGGAGTTGAAAGAGGGTGCTGAGAGAAAGTAACTGGAACTATAAAATGACAGGAATGCCATTAATTGTTGAGTTGAGCTGGGGGCTTCAAACCACAGCCTGTAAATATTGCCAGGAT